TCCCCCGTAATGCCCAGTTGGTTGGGGACTTTTGCAGAGTGAACGTCCTGCAAAGCCTCTGCAGCATATTTGTAAATCTGAAAACGTGCCCAATTTCACAAGAAATTGAAAGAGTGAATTGTTACTCATTTCCCAAACCAAAGACAAAAGAGCAAATGTGTAAGATCTCAATTAGGGTGAGGAAGACCAAACTGTAAAGGGGTAATAACAAAAGAAGAACTGTTAAACCAGTCATCTTGGTACCACTGAAGCTAGCATCAGCATTGCTATGCTGAGTGAGTTAGCAGCCAGCCAATGCTGGAGTAGCCAGCCAACATGAGATCCCCCAAAATGATGAACTCTATAGAGCACGGCCTGCTGTGTCAGCCAGTACGTGATTCACACAGTTGTGCTAAATATGCTCATCTCTTGAGGTTGGTGTTAGCTTCTTATTCAAATTTCCATTCCACCTTAAATAGTGCAGCTGTCACAAGCTAGCACCCATACAGGCATCTGAAAATAACTGCTACATCGATTAAGGTGGAACAGGAAATGAGAGTAAGAAGCTAACTGCAGTTTCATCTCATCTCTATCCACTGTATAGTACTTATCAATAAGACTTAACACCTTAAATTACTACAGATGTACATTTGGATGAAAAACTTATAGTTTGTTTGAGTGTTTTTGTGCTCATATGTGTGACTTTATACATTAGTTCACAGTAATTGGACCAAAACATTACCGGCCCACCAGGAATTCATTCGACTCTCCCGATAACCCACTCTGGCACCATTTATGTCCATCCTCTACAACATTCAGTTCATTGCATTCTTTCTTCTTTGCCTGTACAACATCCTTATCCAACATCTTCAACAAATTCAGGACTTCAGATTGAGAATTTACACAGAGGTGGTAGTACAGAGGAACTGTAATTAGGTGAAAGTGTGAGGACTGTGCCCAGCGATGGACTGGCAACCTGTCCAGGGCGTATCCTGCCTTCTGCCCAATGACAGCTGGGATAGGCTCCAGCACCCCACCGTGACCCAGAAGGATAAGCGGTTTAGATGATATGTGTGTGTGTGTGTGTGTGTGTGTGTGTGTGTGTGTGAGTGTGAGTGAGTGAGTGAGTAAGTACTGTGTCAAAATCTTACTCAATGTGGAATTATGGAGCCAATAATATTGTTGAGTGAAAGTTGATATTGACATCTACGTGCTCATGTAAATAAAATATAAAGTAAATGTTTTAATAAATAAATCAAATATTTTCTTTGCTTGGTGGGTGAAGGAGTTAATGGTAATGGATGGTACTCATCCTTACACAATGAATTAGCATAATCATGGGCAGTTTCATTGAATAAAAACAATAAATTAAAATGCAAAAAGGATGTTTTAGAAAAGAAAAATCTGCTAGCCTTGGAACATTTGTAAGAAGTAAAAAGAATGTAGCAGTTTTATTGGGTAAAAGTACATGTACTCAGTTTGAATAACACTTACGTGCAATTATTCCAAAATAATACTTAAAGTATAATAACAAAATACCTTGTATATGGGAAATTTCAGAACCATTACAGATTGTGGTCAGCAGGTTGGCACTAACTGGTTTGAACAAAATACCTTTATAATGCAAAATATAAATATAATGCATTTCAGACAGAGAAGTAAATAAAGAAATGAAGTAGGTAGTGAGTTGCTGCTATATTTGGGGATTTGAGAGGATTTGAAAGGGATTTTGAACAGCCGAGTCATTTTGGTACGTAATTAAAACCACTGCTAGGAGATGGCCAAGAGCAGGAATATGTGTGTGTTCAAGGTCAATACGTTCAAAACAAACATCACCCAGTGAGAAAGTGTGTGTGTGCGTGTATGTGTGTGTGTGTGTGTGTGTGTGTGTGTGTGTGTGTGAGAGAGAGAGAGAGAGAGAGAGAGAGAGAGAGGTGTGATCACAATACAGTCAAGCAGGTTTCTTGCTGATCATGAAGTCATTCACTGATCATAATTACACCATGCATTTCCCTGTGTGATTGTGACTTTGATTGTGTGCCTGGTTAGAGGTCAGCTATGTCAGAGAACCATAATGATTACAGTTAGGCCTTCAGTTTGGTCCATGAATGTCAAAAACAAGACAATAAAACACCGGACAATGCTAATTTCAACTAGCACACTCATGGGATTGTAGTAATATTTTAGTACTAAGCTTATGTCGGTTCATATGAACATTATCTCACTCTTTAAATTAAAAACAGACATTTGAAGCTTGCAAAAGACATTTCATCGTGGCATAACTATGGGCCCCTGTACAAAAAAAAAAGAATAGGGCCCTATGCAAATTACATTCAATTAATACAGAACTGACAACGTAATATGTATGTTTATTCTGTTGTTATGTCTCAAATGAGTTGATGAGGTCAAAGCATGCCAGTCCACCCACTAGCATCTAATGTTACATGTTTGTTAGACTACCTATTTGGATTGCTATGTATTGTTTGTCAGTGATGATATTTATTAGGTAGGTTAGATGAACACAGCTAGAACATAAATTTGGTTCCAGGCACTTCAACCATCACATAGATTCAGTGCCATCAACAGCACAACTATATTCATTCAATGAAGGAATGATTAGATAAAATAAATATTGGATGGTAATTATAAATAGTGGAATTCTTTGAGGAGAGATTTAGAAAATGATTAAACTAACACACATCAAATCACAATGGATTGTTAATTTGATTATTTACATTTATATTAATGTTAGTGTTTTTGGAACAAATAAATACATTGTGACTACGAGCCACGATGGTGTAGGCTAACTAACACCTAAGCTGGTTGTCACAGTCCAACTGACAGTTCAGACCACCATGGGCCCCAGTGCAACTGCCCCCCCATTCCACCAGTAGTTACACCATTGCAACGGACACGTTAACATATATGTTAGCTTGTAGCAGTTTCACAGTGACTCTTCCAGAGCCCTGATGTAGAGCTGCCACTGTTTCCCCCGACTGACATGCACTGGTGAGGCTGCCACTTGTATGTCAGTGACATATCTAGAACAAGAAGGCCTACAGTGATGTGTTTCTCACAAAATTGGTCCCACCTACTGTAAATCTAAATGTGATTGGTTTATCACACTGTCAATTCCTAATTATGTTAGTGGTTAATCTTACCTTTTAGGTAAGGCATGTCAAACTGGGGACCTTGTGGGCCAAAGTGCTGAGGAGATTAGAGTTTACCTTCATCTAATGCGCTGAATTCAGCTCATGAAGGCCTTGCTAATTATCTGATGAGGTGAATCAGGTGTGTTTAATGAGGCAGTGTGCTGAAATCCCACTTCTTGAAGTGCTTAACAATAGGAGAGCTGGCTTGGCTGTATCTACCTAGATGCTGCAGAGACATCCCTATTGGATAATTTTCTGTTGGGCATTTAAAAATGTAACCCTTAAATTTCCAACTAAAAGTTAACTCTGAAATATGAGAATTACTACAATATTTGCAGAGTTTAAATCCAAGAAGTATGATGATTATGTTAAACAAAAATAAACAAAAAATTACAGATATGCAATTTTTTTTAAAGAAACTATTCAGCTTTCTCTGGAAACCTACAAGGCCACCAGAGTTCCTCACTGGGTCATATTAAACTGAATGTATATGCATGTTGATATTTATCTACTGAGTACATCCATGCAAAACTGTTCAACTGATTGGTTTATTAATGGTTGAATGGGGCAGTTCACTGAGTGTTCAGGAAGCCTTTGTTGTATATGGCAGTACTTTGTGCTCCCTAACATAGCATTGTGCTAACGATTCATTTCATTCGAGCAATTCAGGCAAGCCACAGAATTACCTCACCTGAAGAGAATGAGTAGAGCTACTATGATAACTAAACTTGCAAAATATGAACAGATGGTCAAAACATGTATATATATATATATATATATATATATATATATATATATATATATATATATATATATGTATATATATAGATATATAGATATATATAGCATACACAATTTCTATTTTTCTGTTTCACATATTGTAAACGTGCCATAACTTTTTCTCTTATGTTAAATTCAGTAAATAAACTGTAATTGTACATTAAAATGCGAAGAAGGGTGTTCTCTGTAGAGGATGTGTAACTTATATTCACTCAGAAAATCAACAAAACATGATTATCTGACTAGGGATGGCAAAACCTTTGCATACGACTGTAGTTACTAGTGGTGTAATCGTGCCTTTGTGACACTGCAATACAAAAGTGACAAAGTGCACTACTGACTACTGTTTCAATAGGTACAGTGATTCAAGTGACATCTACACTTACACGTATAAAAGATATTAGTTAATAAGGTTAGAAACTGTGGTCAAAGTGCACATTCAGTGACTGTGATGCTTGTGCATTAGTACAATATGTAAGGAAGAACAGAAGAGTACATGTTTTTTCAGGTGACCGAGACTGTCAGTGCACCAGACTATCAGCAAAGAGCGGTCAGTCAACATATATATACAGAGGAACATTATAGTATGGTTGCACATTTGAGAGGTCAGTGGTGTAAAAACCTTAGACACTGATCTACAGAGATGTAGAAAAGAATATATATATATATATATATATATATATATATATATATATATATATATATATATATGTATATACATGTATAAATTTATGACACATGTCCATAAATGGCCATATTTCAGTTTTCCATATGGGTTCCTTTCTCTGAAACTCCAGCTCATCAGAGGAGCATTACACCCTTTAAATGAGTCTTATCTGGCCTTTCAGAGTAGACGACCCTCAAAAATGTGCAGTGGTCTGCTCGATGCTTGTGGCAGTATTTTAGCATTTGGCAGAAAGAGAAAACTGCAAAACGAGACAAAGGATTACACCTGATCCGGTCTATCGACCCACCAATGCTGGCAGCTAAATGAGAATATCCGTTTCAGCAGTCATTAGCTGCGCTTATTAGTTATTAGCTCCCCCTGGCGGGGGATACGGTCATTACACCGCCCATTGATCAGGCATGAGTCCAGCAGCCGCTGCTGCCTGGAAAAGGTGAAAGGATAAGGGTGTTATCTCTGAAGCTGGGTCACTGTGTGTGTTAGCACAGGATTTCAGACCACTAAACACATTTCCGACTCATTATCATGGAGATGTTCTCGAGGTGATAAGGTACGTTTGTCTTGCTATAACGTTTCTGTCCTATTGTGCTTTGTACCTTCGGGGTTGGTGAGCAGAAAAGGCTGTAATCACTGTAATCACCTCTGGCATAGGAAGGCAGTGGGGGTGCTCAGTGTACCTGCTGTTCATGGGTACTTTTATTGGCTAATGCTGCTAATAAAGTTCGTAGGCGTGTTACTGTTAGGTTAGCTGTCTGTGATACGAAGCACCGGCATCCCTGAACGTGTTCTAGCTTTAGCTTTTCAGTGGCTTGTAGAGCATCTGTCTCGGTCTGAATAGCAACTTGAATCTCACAGCCACAAAGCTGCAAATTACAGTCCGCTTTTGGTGTCTGTCAGCTCGGCTAATAGCAACGTTTTTCTAAGGCTAATCTAGCTGTTTCTCTGGTTTCTCACAACCGGAGCAGACAGCGGGGTGCAGCAGGAGCTCGCCGCCTCCCCGCGCTGTATTCTGGGCTTTATGGATTTAGACGTGAGAAATGGATATGCATGAGGGTTGTAGTAGCAATACGCCTCCAGAGAGCCACATGCTTAGCATTCCTGTATTGGGCTGTCTCTGCCGTCTCTCAGTGAAGCTATGCGGATCCATAGCTGCTCCTGCTGTTCCTTTGAACCTCTTCTGCAGGGCGCATGCCTCTCAGCAGATGTTCATTTCATGTCCAGCCAGAGAGGAAGTTTTTCACGCCTAACTTAACACCAGTTTCATCTCCCTGTGGTTGAAAAGGCAGCGGTGTGCAGGCAAGATGAATGAGGGCACCAGCACAGTCAGAGTATGAACATTATTATTGTTGTTACAAAGAAAATTGCATATTGCACATCATGGACGAAGACCTTAATAGTATTATCACTGTCACTATCTACTAATGCACACTCAGAGCAGATGGGGTGCTGTCCTTTACACTGTGTAAAGATTTCATGATGAATGGACCAAACGCTCCAGAATCACTTGGAATAAAATCTCTTTACATTAACTTATGTTAGAAGTTAAGAACGTTTTTGTTTCCTCTTGTCAATTGGAGAAACATGTTTTTTTTTTGGACAGTGATGAAACATATGTGAAAATTCAGACATGATAAAACCTTTAAGATTTGAAATGAACATACACGTGTTTATTATTCCAGCTGATATTATGGCAGAATGACAATTCTAGTATAACTATAGAAGCACTAGGTAAATTAAACACTACCAGTAATAAAGCATGTGTGTCATTAGGGGTGGGTGATATGAGTGCAAATAAATATTTTCCACTGTTTTGATAAGAATATCATATGACAGTATCCAAAAATATTTAATAATAATAATAATAATAATAATAACAACAACAACAACAACAACAATACCTTGCTAGAAAAACCATCATAGTTGGTCACCAGCAAAATGGACTATATGCTATTTTTTGTTGTTTTTCATTTTTTGACATTATTTGAAAATACCAGCTGCCCTTTACAAAGTCTGAAAATTTCATGATGACTGGACCAACAAAAATAGTCAAAACCTGCTTAGAATAAAAATTCTTAATTTACACTGAAATTTATGAATGTTTTTCCTTCTCCTGTTAAGTTACCATTTTACAGATAGGATGTTTGGTTCTAACAGCGACAGTGTGCTGTGTTTTGGATGTTGTTGTGCTGGTCAGAAGCAATGAAAGCTAAAATGCTGATCACCACTGGAGTCACCACAGCGTATGTTGTGTTTTGTGTGCTGGTATGCTGATCATGCAGGGTGACCAGCTAAACCAGCACACGATCACCATAATCAAGCATGAACCAGCTTAGACCAGCATGGAATTCCTGCTGGTATGAGCTGTTTTTTTTTTAGCAGGACACTTTAATAATGCTAATAATTATCATTTTAATGGTTGTCATACTTTAATGATTATTAGGTACATTTTATAAGCAATACCAGGTTTCTAAAACCAAACACAGTGACACAGTTTGAAACCAAACGCTGTTCTGTATTGTCTAAATGCAACACACACTCTACTAACTACATTAGATGACTTTTATGGAACCAGTTATTATTATTGTCATTCTCCTCTCCTTGTCAATCTCTCATCCTTTTTTCCAATCTCTCATCGTTTTTACTTCCTCTTCCATCTTCAATACTAATTTTCACTTTGTAGGTGCTCTCTAAAAAGATATTTCACTGTTTGCTGTAACTAACAAAAGAACTCGCTATTCCATGTTGGCTAAGTTTACTGCTGTATACTGCCTATTAGATGGTTGATGGCTGAGTGATCATTTGTCAACAAGTAAAGTAATATTTGTTTTGTCCAATAAAGGGTGACAAAACTGTGCATTAACAGTCCATGGCAGAGTGAGAACTTGTGTCAGTTTGGTGTGTTGCCGGTATAAAAGGTGAAGGTGAAGGTAAGAGAGCACTAAAGTGGTGCAGTTACCTCTTCTTGTCTAAAATGTTATTTTGTCGAATGTAAAATATTCATTTGGGCTGTTGAAGCTTATATTTATGTTCCCTTAGGGGCGGGGCTGTTTGTGATTCGATATTTGTGGGCTTATCATTGAATCCATGGTGTGGCAAAATCCATATTAACGGTATTCACTTTTATCAGCTCAGTGTTGAGAAAAGACTTTCCATGTGGTTTGGAACAAATGGCAAGTTTTATCACTCTCACTGAGCAGCTGTAACAATGGAACGTACAAGCCTGCAGAATGATTTTTAAATCTGTCTGAACTAAATGAGCCTTGAACTTGAAAGATTGCCAAGCCATCATTTGCTATTAATGCAGTTTTGTTAATAATTTAGCCTAAAGCAGAGAGAGAGAGAGAGAGAGAGAGAGAGAGAGAGAGAGATTAAGCCGCTGCCAGTTGTTGATGGTCGTGTTGAGGGTCTTAGCAGTTCCAGCAGCTCTGCAGTCACATCTAGCTTCAGTGCAAGTTCACCTTCAAATAAAGTGGCATGTAATCTGATTGCTTCCACTCTCAGCTTCCCGATGAAAAATGTCTGGTGGCTCTACTCTCCCATCTCAAGTCACACCTGAGCAGTTATACGGTTTGTTGGAAGCAAATAACACTTCCATTTGAAATGGCTTCTCACTGGTGATGCACTTAAGTTAAGGCAGTATCATCTCACTGGAGTCGAGACTGTGGAGGGTATTTGGAGGACAACTGACCTTATGTCACCGCTGCACTAGACTAATCACTTTCTTCTAAACACACACACACACACACACACACACACACACACACACACAGCTGTGCATAACCGTATGCCTGCTAGCCGAATGAACGGTGATGATGAGTTTAACCCTTAATCTCTTCTGTCATTACCTGATGTGCTGATGTTTTTTGACAGGATAAGTATTATAAGTATTTAGTACCAGGAGACAAAGGAGAATAAGTGAATTATGCACTAGCTAGGAACGTGCATGGGGTACTTGAGTACTCGGTTGACAGTTTAGAAGTGCCAGTATTTGTTTAGGTGTTTGTTTCATGTTTTCACACAAACCGAAAATATACAGACAAACAAGTGAAAAGCTGATGTCAAGTGTAACAATATAGTAAAGTATGGTTCACTAGTATTTGTGGGTACATAATATGTTGCTACTACAAAACATAAGTGCCGTAACCAGTTCATTGCCAAGAACGCATAATTAAGGAAGTGACTGAGAAGGCAGAAAGGCCCTACTGTGCACGCCCATATCAATAGTATAGTGTAGTAACTTAGTTTTAACTTTGTTTTTTTCTTGTGTTTTTAATGTTAATTCAGCCTTACTTCAAGTGTATTATACAGTTAGTATGTACCCTCTGATAAGGTGATTTAAACTGTCAGAATATTCTACCTATAGTTTTAATGCTGGTAGCACTTTCTGCTAAAGTTATTTAGGCTATCAAAAGATCCCACCTACAGCTTTATGTTGGGTGGTACCCATAAATACGCGCTGTGGTAGGACATTTCAATGTAGATTAGAGATTAAAATGTCATTAGAGCACTGGCGTTGCTTATTGCTAACTAGGCAGACTACTCTAGCTGAGGTTAGTTGGGTCCAGAAGCAGTGAAAATATATTTCTCTGACAAACTAACATGTTAGCAAGTCATCCACTTGTTAGAAGACGAGAAGTCGCCATCAGCATCCAGTGTTGCACCTGTTAGCTCTGTTAATTCATTAGCTCATCTGAAGAGGCAGTCTCTGTTACTCCCCCAATACAAAAATCTACTAATTAGAAACCTCCCTAATTAGTTTTTAATAATTATACTTATACATTTTAATAATGTTGTAGTATTGTTTAAATGTTGCTTTGTGTGCTGCTAAATGTTTGTGCAACACCAGTGCTGTCACCTAAATAGGTAAGCCTCCAGCCCTATGCATTAAACTAAATATCTATTAAATTCACTTTAATTGTCCTTAACCCTAAACCTAACACTAAGCTACCTAAACCTAATCTAACCCTACACTTAATTTAACCGCCCAATATCTAATCCTAATCCTAGCCCCAACCCTAACCGCTGTCCTAAACTTTACTTTAGTGCTAATGCTAGTTTGAACTGTAAACATACTGTTGAGAATCAACTGAGTTTCACCAGATAATTTGTTTATACTTTGAATCTGTAGAGTATCTATAGAGGGCCTTCCAAATAAACTGGGACCTTAATTTGTATTTGAGGGCTCAGACCATGTCTTCAACATGGTGGTGGTATGACAAAAGATTGATTGAGGGAGTGTGGAGAACTCTGAGAACAGTATAGCTGTAGGAGGACTGATGTAGGACTGAGGAACAGGAAGGAGATGGAGTGGTGATGGGGATAGCGAATCCTTTGTCACGGGAACGGAAGGTGAGGATGTGAATTTATAGGGCATTAGATTGGAAGAAGGAGGGGTTTCAGGCATGTTCCTCCCCCCAAACTTTAGTTATAACCTAACTACATTATGAAACATTTCATCATTTAATTTCCACTTGAAAACACATATTACGGCAACACACCTATGACCAAAAGTAAACATACTGAAAGACAAAATATATTTGAGTCATGTAT